CGAGGAGGTCTCTGAGCTCGTTCCCATCTAACAGTAAATCTCAATACATTCGTCCTTGAACTAGCCCCATAAATGGACTTCATTCAAAATCTTGGCAGTCCTATAGAGCCTTGTATTTCCTCAATGCTAACAAATCGGTGATGATTTCAGAACATAGTTAAATCGCATTTTAGTGTCATGCCTCGAGAGCGATCATTTGTCCTAGGAAGGGCCTCATCCTTGGATAGGCTTAGTCCGTCGATTCGTGGTTGCCTTCACGACGGGTTGAAGATTCCACAAACGCTTCCTGAAGTTTATAACACTTTACGTCTTGAAAAGCTTCATATAATGGATCCGGAAAGCGATAATGAGCGGAAAGAACCGGTCGGGCTCACAGGTACGAACAGTAGCTGGGGAGTATCTTCTGCTCGCTCGCGTAAGATACAAAATAGGTTCGATTGCGTCCGAATTCTCCAATCGCATTACTGGTATTTTAGATCGGCGGCGACGACCTCGTTCCGTATCACGGCACACAGCTTCAACCGACGTTGCTTCGGACTCTGAGGCTTCCACAGGTTGTCCAAGTGTAGCTGATCGCGGTAATAACTACGTTAGAATCTCTATAATGCCAATGAGATATTATGTAGGAGGTTTCTGGCACCATACAATGCGGCGACATAGACTCGATGTTGTATTGGATCTTGATCGAACCATGGTGAATAGTTTCGAGATTAGGAAGGCGGGCCGGTCGGAGTCAGAAAATGTTACTCCCATTCTGCAAGAGATCTACCGGGACGAGTAGTGAGACGTTTTCGTTCTTGATCATAGGCAGTCTGGTTCAGACAGGGACTACCCGAGTTGTACCTTTGCGTAATTAGCGATGTTAAAGTGTTGACTAAAATACGTCCGCACGCGAGAGCTTTCATCAGAGAGCTGGTAGTGACTATTCTCTGAGTAGATTATATGAGAGTTAAGTCAGGTGGCGAGTACCGAGTATGGTGTAGTGATATCGATATATACCAAAGGCAGTAGGCGGTATATGGAGGTAGTCAAACAGATGCTGGATCCATCTGGGGAGCTCATTAAAGTGAGGAAAGCGAATATGGTTAAGTGTGGTTCATAGGGATTCCCCAGGGCCGTTTAGTGTCGAGAGACGATGAGCCGTCTAATATGACGCCTGTGGAAAAGGACCCTGATTTGGTAGTATTCTATGTGGGGGGCTGTGAGTAGTACAGTACCGTTGATTAGATAATTAATGCATCGGTTGAATCTGGTGCGCAATTCGATGGTAGTGATGGTAGACTGTGCAATGGAGATAAGGAGACGAAGGAGAGTGAAATGCGTAGATGGTTTGTGGTCCTGGACGATAGTCCTGAGGCCTGGCCAGAGGAGTTGAGAGAGGCGGGGAATGTCGTGACAGCTAATATGTAAGGGAGTTGGATAGTCGCTTTATATACCAAAATTCTCTCAAATCATATTATTCCGTTGAATGCGACATGTGGTGATATGGTATGTGATTACATAGGTATGATTTCGCAGAGGTGAACCATCGTCAGTTGTTGGCCGCGGTAGCTGCTAGCAGTGTAGGCAGGACGACTAAGCTTGCAGCCCTTCCTAGAGATGAGGACGATTTCCTAGAATGGGTGGTGATGGGGGTGCTGTGATACTATTATCAGTGATAGTATATCAGTGACTATTGCTTCCGTAGTGATAGCTTATCACTACTGTATTAGGCCCAATACACCTAATGAATGTCTACGGACGTGTAGTTCTCACCGATGGAGTATTCTAGTCGGGGATGCGTTTGTTAAACTCATAGATGGTATGCGTTCCAAGTGCATTCATCTGTTGAGGATATTCCATTAAAAATGTATGTGTATTTCTCATCACGAACTTGGAAAACCTCGTTGGTGGTAACTCTTTTACTTCAGGAAGCACTCGAGAAGATCTGGGATGTCGCTGATGAACTGTGTCGGGGATACGGGTATATGCCGACCTGTCGAGGATCTGATGCTTGCTCTACGGACGGCTCTGAACCACCGTCACCCAGTGAGGCTACTGCTGTGCTCACCTACGTAAAGGTTGTACAGGTATGGCTAGAACTGAAGTGGAAGGCCTGGGGGGTAATGCAGTTCGGCAACTTATGAGGAGGTCGTCACAGCGGGAGTAAAGGGCCTCTGTACAGTAGGATAGTAGTTGGTGTGTTTAGCCGAGGAGAAGCTGTGATTGATAGTGAGAAGATTGGCGGCGATGGCAGTCGGAGACGACAAATGCCGCGGCGACGGACTGTAGAGACAGAACTCAACTTGCGGTGTCAACCTGTTCTGGTCAGGCTCCGCGAGTATCGGATTCCGTTCCTACTCATGGAGTTAGTAAGACTAGTAATATTAACGGGTCGAGGATGGGAGTGTTGAATCATGAAAGTGGTGGAAGTGCGGTATTGGGATTGCCTATGAGGTAGAAATGGGTATTTTTTAGAAGATGTGGAAGCGTCTACTTCGTCCGGTGGAATGTCGTGGAGGTCCAACGGTCTCTTTGAGTGCAAACATGTCGTTAGTGTCTGTGGATCGTCTATATGGCCGGTCGGTTAACAGCTGTGATAATCTGTCGTGTAGTATCCAATGCATCGCTCCGCCCTGTGTGCGAGATTTTTCCGCAGTGTTTAATAGATTCACACTGATTTTCAAAAGGATCGAGTGAAACTCAATTCCGGGAGCGCTCTTGAAGCTCAGGAGCAAGCCGGCCTATCTTTCCCCTCAGGTTCGTTGTATTCGTAGTAGCGTCCTTGCTTATAACACTACACGAGATGCTCTATGCTCCCACCGATGTTCGACCGGTCGTTCCCATCTCTAATACAACAACAGCTTTCTCCCTGGACGAAGGCCTCACACAGGCTCCGTCGGACGAGAAGTTCGCCCCTTCTGTTAATAGTACTGAGGTTGTCTCAACTCAGCCTGTGAATGACGGTATATATAACAACACTGAGTCAACGGCAGGGTCTCACCTTCGGCAAGGTATGACTACTGCTAAGCCGTCTCGAGACGAGCCGTACTATCTAGTTTAGAGGCTCCTTGTGGAGTGGAGTCTACTGCTGTTACCATTTCCAACTTCTTTTTCCGTCATGTTCGTGATTCATGTAAATCTGAAAATTTCATAATTTCTACAAAGCTATCATCGTTATCACTATGTTCCTCTATGCAGTATTGGAGTTTCTGACTCCAGCTCAGTGCGGGCCTATACAGCTGATCCCGGGAGGTCTGAAGGCCGGGTCGGACGACTTGTCATTTTGGAGCGCATTTTTGTAGGTCTTTGTCGTGATGAATCGATTGCAGAAAATGTGTATCGAAATTGTTTATTTTCAACATGAGCTGGTACGTCGTGTAGGCGTTGTTGCTGTCACGGAGTCCCCCAGCAGGACTGCTCAGCACGTCTGGTCGTGGGGGCTGCTTTCTTAAGAAAGATCAGTTGCTCGAGGGAATTCCAGTGTAGCTGTTTACGATGGTGTTGTGTTGAGTGTGGAAAAAGACAGGTGGCGGGGATTGAACCTGGGTCGTCTGTAAGAATACTATTTTCGCCGGGAGTTGCCCTTCGACTTATGCCTCCTAGAGAGGTGGGAAGGGACGGACACGATACTCTAGAGAAGGGAGGGGGCGTATTGGATATGTGCGATAATACAGAGGTTCTTTGAGAAGTAGTCGTGCAAAATGCAATTTCCGGCACAATTCACATCACGATTGTTTCGTTGTTTTCCTCGGCCGAAAGCGGTGGTCGCCTTAGCTTGTTGGGACCCCTCTTTACTTTGGTATGTCGAATAAGAAGCCGCAAGCACCAGAGGTTGACATGAGCCAAATGGCGCTGGCCAAGAGTTCGGGCGATCGCATCAACACTAGTGTTGTTGTTCACCCCATTGTACGGCCAGGGTTCAATCGACCTCAACTTATCAGTTCCATCACAGGTGCTCCTTTCTATTGTTGACCACTACAATAGAGCGGCTAAGGGAACAGCTCGGCGTGTTGTTGGTACACTGTTGGGCCAAATGCTGGTATGGGAAGCAATACTGGGGTTGGCGGGATAGTTTTTTTCAGGATGGCAAACTACATGTTACCAACAGTTTTGCATTGCCCTTTGAGGAGGACCTCAGAGACCCTCAAGTGTGGTTCGTTGATCATAACTACCATGAGAAGATGTATGCTATGTTCAAGAAAGTGAGTGGCAGTGTTGGGGGATATATGTTCGCTTTCCTCAGCAGAGTTCAGGAGCTTTCTCACTAATAACATACGAACTAGGGTAGAAATATACAGGAATCAACAAGAATTTCCCACAATTTCCTCAGTATTTCGATATTATCACCAACACATGTAGTTGATTATTGTGCATATTTCCCCACACTGGTAAGCGGATCAATCAGTCATCGCTCCCATTGCCGTGTACCTGTGAGGCGCCTCTAGTGCTGTGATGAGCCATTGTGTGTAGGTCTCCCAGAAGGAGGTGGTAGTAGGATGGTATTCCAGCGGCCCAAGGATCAAACCCAGCGATCTTGCGATAAATGAGATCTTCCGACGGTACCAAATGCATCTACTACGCTGTACATATGTTTGGTTTCATCAGCTGAGTTTAGGAGTTTCATCACTAATCATACAAGTTCACATACGAAGTCGGCTAGAATTGTACAGAAACCAATAAACATTTCCCAAAATTTCCTCCGAATTTTCATATACTATCACCAACACACGTAGTTGACCATGTGCATATTTCCCCATACTGACGCTCTAAAGGTTCGTAAACGATAATGGTGATGCATATTGATACGTTTCTTACGCTGAGAATTCGAAATTTCCCACATTTCTGATCGTTGAATCAGCGGAGTTAAATTATTTTTTCGTTCTGGACTATCGGAATGTAACACACTGTAGTGGTGCTTGTAGATTCCGTATCGAAGTGGTTACGATGAAATGTTCAGATACTGTCCAGAACCTGTATTCCTCATTATGGACGTCAC